AAAATGACTCTTCATTTATTCTCTATACAACTTGCCGCCAGCCTAAATGAAAACAAAACAGAACAAAAAAAGTAAATAAAAAAAGCAAAAGGAACAAATATAATAATCTAGGAAATAATAGACCATATTTATCAGTGTCCCAACTGTTGTGTCTCCTGAGACCTTTAATAGAAATGACCATGTTGTATCTCCATGTATTCTCCCCTTTTTGTATCAAAGAAGTGTCTTAACCTGTACAAATTATTTACTTACATTCTGAACTAATATCTTTACACACAACTTTGTTATATGGCTAATTGGGTGGCCTTTTATAATGGAGTGACTGCATCAGTGGACAAGGGAACAGCTACTTACATCATCTACCTGAAATTCTGTAAGGCCTTTGATACGGTCCCCCCCAATGTTCTTGCTGCTAAATTGGTTTAATGGATGGACTGTTACGTCAGTAAGGAATTGACTGGATGACCATGCCCAAAGAGTTACCGTCAATGGTTCAATGTCCAAGTGGAAACCAGTAACAAGTGGTTTCCCTCAAGGGTCCATACTGGGACTGATACCATTTAATACCTTCATCAATGTATCACTGATAGTGGGATTGAATGCACCCTCATTAAGTTTGTGGATGACACCAAGCTGAGTGGTGCAGTTGATGTGCTTGAGGGAAGGGATGCCATCCAGAGAGACCTGGACAGGCTTGAGGAGTGGGGCCATGGGAACATCATGAAGTGCTAGAAAGCTTGGTGCAAGGTCCTGCACCTGGGTTGGAGTAATCACCAGGATCAGTACAGACTGGGGGATGAATGGCTTGAGAGCAGACCTGTGGAGAAGGACTTTGGGATACTGGTGGATGAAAAATTGTATGTCAGCCACTCATGTGTGCTTGCAGCCCAGACAGCCAACTGTATCCCAGGCTGCATAAAAAGAAGCATGGCCAGCAGGTCAAGGGAGGTGATTCTGCCCCTCTACTCTGCTCTTATGTGACCCCATCTGGAGTACTGCATCCATTTCTGGGAGCCCCCAGCACAAGAAAGCCGTAGATATGTTATAGCAGGTCCAGAAGAGGGCCACAAAAATCATCAGAGGCATGGAACACCTCTCGTTGTTCAGCCTGGAGAAGAGAAGCCTCCAGGGACGCCTTCTCGTGGCCTTTCAATATACAGGGGGGCTTCTAAGAAAGACAGAGACTTTTTACTAAGGCTTGCAGTGACAGGATCAAGGGCAATGGTTTTAAACTGATACAGGGTAGCTCTAGATTAGATATAAGGGATTAGATATAAGGAAGAAATTTGTTATGATGAGAGTGGTGAGACACTAGAGCAAGTTGCCCGGAGAAGTTGTGGATACCCCATCACTGGACGTGTTCAAGGTCAGGCTGAACGGGCCTTTGAGCAACCAGATCTAGTGAAAGATGTCCGTGCTTATGGCAGGGGTGTTGGACCAGATGACCTTCAGAGGTCCCAAACCAATCTGATTCTATGATTGTGATCCAATAAAGTACAAACCAATCCCTCTCGTATCCTTGAAAAGGGACACAGAAACATAATTGAGATTGTGTCCATACTCCCCCTCAACTCTACCACGTCACTTTTCGAATATATCTCCGAGTCCTGCTTTTAAAGGAACAAGGGCTGAGGCTTCCACTACTCTCACTGTGAATATCTTTTCACCATATGAGAAACATACTGATAAAAAGTATTTCCTGGTAGTTAGGTAAACTTCTCCCATTTCTTCAGATTTATCCCATTGTTCTTTGTAAATCTTTGTTCAGATTTATCCCATGTATCTCCTGAAAAACCCTGCTTATTACTTCCACTGCAGTCATGAATCCCTTTTCAATGCTTACCAAAAAGTATGATATATATGGTATTTCCCTTCTTTACTTTCTGGAGAAGTTGTCCTTAGTTCTCATCTTTTTCCGTGTGTTTAAAGAGTATTTTGAGAAATAATTTCTCTGCTAGATAGCAATGATTTTATTTGAGTTCTGGAAAAACAATAATAGAAAACTTATCACTTGTGATTTTTCAAACTAGCCTGCACAAAGCCCGGGCAAAGCGCATGGAGAACAACCCCACAGCTGAGAATAGATTTAGTCTGTATCTACTGATGCTTGCACTAGTGAGTAAGCTTAACCTTTAAGTGACACACAAGCCTACCTTGGCTGTCCACGCCAGACCGCTCACCAAAACTGCATAGAGCAAGGCTTTGCCACAGAGAATGAGGTATGTGAGCTTCAGGGAATTTCCATATCGCAAGTAGGACTCTGCAAATCAAATTGTACTGAATTATCATCATCACAAGATATTAGATCTAATGTAGCTTTAATCAAATAAGAACCCTTGAAACCTTTAGCGAAGTGGCACAGAGGAACTAGAGCCAAATGAATGGCTCTGTTGACACGAGATAGCAGGGGATGGGAAAGAACACTGATTCAAAGAACCAAAAGAGACAGGGATTCTAGGAAAGACAGAGATTGGCTTTTTGCCAAGAAACTATGTCCAGATTTGCAACGTTTAACCACTGTGTGGCCACACTTACTGAGAACTAGACTGTTCATGTGAATCCCCTCTTTGGAACTCAAGCTGAATCACAAGATACAGACATTTTTCACTTGTTATTGTCCGTGGCCTTGTGAGTGCTGTTGATATACCAGGGAAGCTTTACATAGCTTCTAACAGTCTAGAACTTTTATTCTTATAGATTTTTCACTCTTAAGCATTTGCAGTAGTATTGAGAAACCAGCCTGATCTTGGTTCAGCCTTAAGATTCCTGAAGCATTAAAAAAGTTGATGAAAAACAAGAGTGTGTAAATATGTATACACAGAGGAAAGACACAGTTTTTAATATGGATATCCTCACAGTTTGAAGGTGAATGTGACTTGTAATGAGAAATATTCTGAATTTGATATTAAAAAATAGTCACAATTCTGGATTCTGAATCTTGATATCATAATTGCTTAGCTATGTATGAATTATTTATGGCTGAGCAAGCACTTTCCCAACAGAAGGCAGTGTTAAGATCTGGAGAAGATGATTAAAAAAGATAATTAGACTCTATAGGAAAGTTCCACAATTTCTTTTGTTATTTCAAAAGGGAAGCATAAAGAAGAGCTAAAAAACCAAAACACAGCTACATATAGCATGCACACACAACTCTCACGGAGTCTTTTTTTCTTTTTTTTTTTTTTATCTAACATACGAATAACTTAGATGAGGAAGTACAAGATATTCCTGCAGTAAAAATCTCACACACCTTGTAGTCAGTGTAAGTAAAACTGGAATTAAAATACATACAGACATTTGCCCGCGGGAAGACACACATACCTTCTGTGACTGCACAACCTGAAAGACAAAAATGAACTGAAAAGTCACATTTCTCTTCAATGCAAACCAAACAGAAATTTTAGAAGTTCCAGTTTACAATATGTTGCCTGATTCATTTTACTATACTATATATTTTATTATACTGTGCATTTTACTATACTGAAGAGATTTCTCAGTGAAAATCTGAAGATACCTTTGAAAAACTATTGATGTATAATGATAATGTAGATAGAGAGGCCTAGGAATATGAAGACATATGCAAATACCTACGTATTTACATATATATTTGTGCCATAACAACACCTTCTATAGAAGTTGTATGTAGATGTGTTTCACATCATAACCCACACCCTTTTGACTTGTGATTTCTAGTTTGTATGGTGTGGTGATACATATTTTTTACTCACCAGCTTCACCGTAGGTTAATTTGTGTATTGATTCCAGCGTTCCATTCTTAAAAAAATTGGCCACACACTCAAAACGATTCAAAGGGTTAAACCATTCCTGGGCTGAGATCCTCAGTCGGCTGGTCAATGAGTAGGTACTGCCATTCTGTGTGGAGAACTCATCTGTCCCCACTCCTTCTGTCCTCTTAGCACCATTCACCTTCCAGAACAGATTCAGGTGGTCAGGGTAGAAACCAGAGGCCAGGCATACCAGCGTGGCCTTGTTCTTCTGTTGGATCTCTTGCTTTGATGGGGAAAAGATGGCCACAGCTGGAGGTATGATTTCATCATTCTTCCCTGAAAAAGAAAGCAATATGGCCCAGAGCGTCCTTTACTGTCTTTAATCAGAAACCCGTTAAAATTGTACTATATTTGTGCTCCTGATATATCTGGCCTTTTAACAACTGTCTGTTTAACAACTGTCTATTACCTAACTGTCTATTTGATGACTAATATGAGGAAAGGCTGAGGGACTTGGGTCTCTTTAGTCTACAGAAAATAAGATTGAGGGGGGATCTTATTAATACTTACAAGTAATTAAAGGGAGGATGCCAGGGGGATGGAAGCAGTCTTTTTTCAGTGGTGCCCAGTGATAGGACAAGGGGTAACGGGCACAAGCTTGAACATAAGAAGTTCCATCTTAACATGAGGAGGAAATTCTTTACTTTGAGGGTAGTGGAGCACTGGAACAGGCTGCCCAGAGAGGTTGTGGAGTCTCCCACTCTGGAGACATTCAAAACCCGCCTGGACACCGTCCTGTGCAACCTGCTGTAGGTGACCCTGCTCTGGCAGGGGGGTTGGACTAGATGTTCTCCAGAGGTCCCTTCCAACCCTGACCATTCTGTGATTCTATGATATCTATTAGATAAGTAGACACCAGGAAACTTACAGCATTTGTCTTCGCTCGTTACACATGAACATAAAAGGTCTGGCTACAGAAATGCATGAGTGAATTTCTAGTATAGTCTCTGCCAGAAGAATAGGAAAGCTGAAAAGAAGCTGAGCAAACAGGTAGTCAGAAAAGTACCCAGTAGTGCTATAAGACCTGTATTTGTAACATTGTACTAATAGATAAGAATCTATGTTATAATGCACAAGTATCTTCAACTGTCTGCATTACATTCCTGGAGATGGAGTGAGACATTATGGTTATTGCAGTGTTCAGTATTATACTACCATGTGATACGCTACTTGGGCCCCCCATATAAGAGGTGACTTGAAAGGAATGAACTCATCTTTCTCACTCTCTGGAGTGAAGAACACTTTAAGTAGGTGATGTGAATCTGTCTGGGACAATTTTTGCTTTAGAGCTTACCTTGCCATCCTTTTTTAAGACTATGAAATATCTCTTTAAGTTATTTTCTACTTAGGTTATACTAGGTATGAGAAACCCTAATCCTAGACTACACATCTTCCCAAAATGACGCAAGATTCTGCACAATCACAAATCAAAAGTTGTCCCCTGTCTGAAAGTGTTTAATACCTACATATTAGACTAAAGACAACAGACTTCTACAGTCAAAAGGATATACAAAGCATCAATGAGATGTTACTCAGAAGCTAGGCAGTGACCCTAAAAGCCACTGTTTTTTCCCCATATACATTATTAGAGTGCCTTTTTTACTCATCTGGCATGATAAACCCACAGATCTGCACAGTGCATGTGGAAACAGAAAGGCAGAGAGAACTATGAAGCTAAAGATAAAAATTTTACTTTTTTCTTTCTGTGTGAACGCACTATAAGCTCTAGACGTTCTTCTTGATCATTCTGTCCTTTCTAGAGTGGAGAGAATTAGCAGAATTAGCAGAAACTTGTATCTTGACCCCTAAGCCCTAGAGTTTGCTTTCAACTGTTAGCCTTAATCATGATTGTCAGTGCTTACTCTGCAAAGATCCCTGGGCCGCTTCTGTGAAACATGTGAGCTTGTACAGACTTCAGAAGAAGTAACTAGATAGTAATGGAGATAACTGCCTAGAAGGTTTGGCACTGCTCTGCTTTCCTTCCAGTGGATATGAGGAGAGGTTCATCACTTTTACTACTCCCTTATAGTACTCGGCTTTCTGAATTTTTTCCTCTTCTAAAAGTATCTCTGACATAAGTTCATTAGCTCACAGCCTAAATGGCTAACAAGTAAAGACACGGAAACAGATAGGGAGGACACAAAATAAAAATGAGAGAGATTGAACAGACTAAACAAAAGAAGGCAAAGAGGAAGGCAGGTAAAAAAAGGCAGACAGAAAGAATGAGAGAACTACTGGAAAGACAAAGAAAACCAGAGAACGAGCATGCTTGAAATGGAATAAGGAGATTGGAACGAGCAAGAGCAGACACAATCAGAAAAAAAGTGTTATCAGCAGCCCGTTCTGTTCTGATCTTCCACATTGTTCATGGCAGACACTGGCACAATGCTTAATCACTTCAATGCATAAACTCATGTATTCCCTGTCACACGTTCTTCAACCACCTAAGAGAAAAAGCATCACAATTCTTCCATTCCCATCAAGGGAAGGTCAGTTTCATGTTTTCTTGTTATCTTTCGCTCCTACCCTGATATTAAAATAATCTGTGTATATGCTACATATCAGTAATGCACAGGAAATTTTCAAGTGTCCTCCACATTGCACACTTGGGTTAATCACAGCTACTTACCTATAACTCTGAGCACAGTGCCAGCTCCAAAGGTAAGTGGCGTATTTAAAAAGCACAGCTGTACACAGTCAGTCTATAACCTGCAGCGTGATTATGCTCTTCTTGCCAGCTGCTTAGTTCCGTAAAATGGTACTGCTTAAAGAAGCAGACACCAGTGTGTACTTCTACAGTTTACTATCAGATATGGCAGTAGCAGATGGAAAAGGTTATTTTGCCCTGTGATTCCAAAATGCTTTGATATAGGTGATGTTAAATCCTTTCCTGGGAGGGGAGAAGGCAGGGAAAGCAAATGGGGAACAAGGGAAAGGATAGAGGAGAATAGTGCACTAAGGGAAAAAGAATATAGTCCTTTTTGAGAATTAGAAGTTGTGGAAAGGACTATTGGAGGAAGCCAGTGTCCCAAAGCAGCTTTAGGCAGCCTGCCCACCATCTATGGAGAGGATAGCAAAGTACCAGCAAGACTATTCTTTCCCTGCCTGATTGAGCAGACACAAGAATCCAGACTATACCTCTGAAATTTTGCTTTTGATTGTTACACAGATGAACCACAAAAGTTTGCACATGGAAGAAGGATCTGTCATTCCCAAAATCAGTAATGCTTTCTTGGAGAATGGGAGGAAACAGAATTATTTCTTTCTTTCTCCCCTCGTGAACTTCCCAGTAAGGGAAGACAAAGGTAACAGACACCAGGATCTCAAAATTTGTGCCTGCAAATCCTACACTTCCATATTAGCACATCTCATTTTAATAAGCAACCAATAAAGCATTAATTCTGTCCTCATTGCTGTGTGAAAAATGATCATTATTATGCTGTTAATTAAGAATGCTCTTGTCCCCTAAACCAGTATCGCATATATCACGGAGATCTGACTTCTGTCTTACCTACGACTGTGAGTTTTGTCCCGCTGCCAAAGTTCAGTCTTTCATTATTCACACTGTTTTGCAGCTGCAGGAAAACCTCTCCTCTACTCTCAGTCCTCTGAGCCAAACCTGTGGACTAACCCTCCCCTCATGCACTATCAGCAAAAGAAGAAACACAAAGTACATTAATTTATGGTCCCCTAAAAAGAAATGTCTTTAAGGGAACACCACCACATCTGTGTATCTAACCAGGTGAGATCAATCTCAGAAATACCTCTTCCAGAGCCCTTTTTCTCCAGGCTTAGGTGAATCGGTTGTTTCAGCTTTCACCATTTCTTTGACATTTATCTATTTATCTAGGTGTACTATTAGAAAATATTTCCCATATGCAGAGTAATTTTCTTTCCTTATTTTAAACTAAACAGCCTAATTTCCTTAATTTCCTCATTTCCTTTCAACATCATGAATATTATTCTCTTATAAAATAAATATCTTTTTTTTTAACTTACAAAATATCTTGTATTATATAACACAGGACCCTGGTCCACTCTCTCCATTGTAGCAGTTCCTAAACATCCCTCCCTTTCTCCTTCCCTGGAAGGAAGTCTCTGCTTTTATTCTCTTTGGTCTCTTAGCTATGATTATTAAAGTTAGCTGCATAATTATCTATGATCAATGAGGGGTCAGTGTATTGATTTTGATCAGCTCAGGCACTTCTGATTGACACTGGATTTCAAACAATGTGCAGATCGCTGAATTTTTCCTACGGACATTGAATTTTATCACTTGTAAGCATTTTACTCTTCAGTGGAACCATGTGGCACAAAAGCCTGAGGCATAACTTCTTCTGACTCAGGGAGAAATGCAATGAGAAGAAGAGAACACTGTCATTTTCCAGTCTTAGAAGCAGCCTTGTTTTCCCCTGGATTGGGAGAGAGTCCAAAGTCTCTCTGGATTTGTCCAAAAATTTGGAGAGAGTCCAGTCTCTGTGGCCCAGAGAAAACATTCCCTGAGAGCTACTTTTATTTGAAATGAATCACATATTCTGTTTCTGCGGTTTTCAGTGGCCTTTTAGTATCTATTCTAAAATAGTAACACTGTTGTCCTAAATAATCTTTTTATCACCATCCTGATGAGCCTGTTTTGTGGAAAGAAACTTACGTGCTGTGGGTAGTTGTTTTCTATAACAACAGGGAATTAAACAACTGCAGAGAGCTGTTAGAATTTCTTACAATAAAGTGGAGCTTTTATTTGTGGCTTCTGTTTTGTCAGCTAAACATGCTAGTACACTTATTTGTCTTTCCCAGTTATCTGAGGTAACACATGCTTTAGTTTACCCTGGAAAGTTCCAAAGTAATTTAAGTTTGTAGAGTCTTGATTTTGTTTTCTAGACCTGTCCAAGGTGTAACTGTAACTCAGTTCTTTCCATACAGGTAGCCTTTCATTGACTTGTCCTTAATCACCTGTAGCCCCGGGAGAACTAGCATTATGGAGAGTAGCTATCCTTCGGGGGAATAGTGATTTTTGCAGATGTTGATTTAATAAGACAATATACTTACGGTGTGAGCATATTTTTTAACCCATTCCACATCCTAATTCTTTCTATGGAAAACTTTTTATTCACTGAATATGCATTCATTCAGTTCTCCAAACTGAAATGCATGTCTCTAGGTTACCTAGAGTACTGAATTTAGTCTATTCTCCAAAGTAGACTGGGTTACTAGCACATCAGGAAAACACCAGTTTAATTATGAAAGGGAGAATAAGGTTAAAGTGAAGTTCTCTAAGGAAAAGACCTAGGATTTGAAGCGAATTAAAAGAGAAAACAAAAATTTCTTACCCATTACTGTAAGTTTTGTGCCTTCGCCGAAAGCCAGGTTATTGTAGTTCACAGTGACAAAGTGTTGTATCATAAGCTAAGAAAAGGGATGCACTGCAATTGACTTAAGGAAACAGAAGCTTAAGCAGTGTTTGCTGCATCTGGAATCCCAAAGATCCCTCAGTCTGAAGGGCTTTGGCAGAAAACCAGCTTGAAATCCCATTGTATAATCTGTAGCATTTATGAAAGCATTTCCCAAAGGTTTTCTTAGATTTATTTTCATTGTCTACATTTCAACTCAGGTTGCTTTATAACCTTTCTCTAATCTCCATGTCATCTCATTGATATTACCTGCTGTTCTCATTTTGCAAATGTAGACACCATGCAGATGTACCCAAAGTGGTAGAGGCAGTCATTGTCTAGAAATATAATTCTTCTACAACTAGAGCTTCCTTACTGTCAGTCTTGTACTCTAAGTATTGTGAAGCCTTCCTTTCTGTAACTTCTGGAGTTAATAAAATAATACCTGCTTTGTGGTTGTCATAGTCACATGCCTTTTCATATAGGTGATTTGCCTTTATGGCACTGATCTAAATGAAATCCATTTGTTTTCCCTTCAATGGCAGGCCAGTCATCTGGAATAGTCTTTCAGGATCCCATTCAGTTTTCTGATAGGTTAAAAGTAATCCACACAAGGAGAATCCAGATGAATCAGTTGGCTGGTCTCAGACAAACCCTTGATATCCATTAGGAAGGACTGCAGTGAGACAATGTGGAGAAGGATTAGAGAAAACCTTTGTGCTCACAAGCGTGAGTCAGTCAGTGGCCACTGGAGGCTTATTAACAGAGAAAACCCCAACACATTTTATAAAGTGCATCTGAGAGATACCTGCTACATGTCAGAATTCTTTTTCTAAACCTTTTATCACACAAGAACCATTTTGTGGTCTATTGCAAACATTAACACATCAGAAAAAAAATACTAATTCTCTGCTTCACATACTCTGATGTGTTTTAGGTGCATTTGCAGTCAATCTGGTTTGCTGAAAATTATTTCAGTGTCTCAGAATCTCCTGGCTTGTTTTCCAGAGAGGGCAGGCTCAGTTCTCAGACGATGAAAGTAAGTCCTAGCATACTAGGTCTGTCAAGAAAAAACAAGACAGAACGTGCCTGCTGTGCAGCAGAATTCTCTGTAGCTGTCTTAACACACTCTCCCACAAAGCTTATGCACATATGGGTTTTTGTAAAGGCCTCCTGGGGAATGTATCATTGTGGACCCCCCATCCCCACAATGATACAACCTCATACAAAAACAATCCCACCCATGTCTCCACCCTCCCATTTTTGTCACCCAGTCACCATGAAAGATTGCCATAGGCACCACAGGCCACATCCTTCCTCTGCCATCGCTGCTTCTGTGGGACAGCCCAACTGCCTCTTAGTGTATGCATTATCCTTGAATTTATAATCCTGACATTTTTCTCCCATAGACAAAAAAGTAGTACATTTTTTTCTTTTATTAGCTGGTTTTAAATGCAGTTATTTTTCACTTGATAACTTCATGACAGGGTTCATGCTGCTTTCCTTCCCACATTTTTTTTCTTCTGCCCCAGTATGATAAACAGACCTTAAGCCCACACTAACTGGTTTGCATCAGGAGTTATTTGCTTACTACAGACTGGTGTTTCTGTTTGTAGACTGGCCTGACTGTGAATATCCTCTTTGGTCTGTGCTGCACTTGTCACAGTTGCTCTGCAAGGGAGGGACGTAGGATGCAGAGCCCTTAAGTTTGTATCCCTCTGACTGCCTTGTTACAAGAAGCAGAAGTACAAGGTTCTCCCAGATGCCTGTGACCCTGACTATGAAAAGGCTTCATCTAGGAGTATAAGCGTGCCTTCATTTTGGAGACTGTCTGAAGCGGGTGGGGACTAGCAGTGACAAGTAACAGGATACTTTTATCTGCCTCCCTTACGCATAACTAAATGGAGACAAAACCGTATTTTTATTCCTGCATAGGTTTGTCCAGGTATGGTGCAACTCCCAAGAGGGAAAGTGAGGGAAAGGGTGCCAGTGAGATTGTGTGTACCAGTGAACACTGAGGCAATGCAGGGAAAGACAGGCACATGAACAAACCATTTTAGGTTTGGGGCATGTGCAGCCTATTCTGGCCTAGTCTTCTCACATAAAAAGTCAGCGGATAGTCAGCAACATGACCAAGCACCTGCAGTAAACCTGTTGTTCGTATTGCTCTTTAATGGTTTCATTTCAGTCTGTCTTGATATAAAAATTAGGCTGTGAGTACAGGACGCAAGCCTTCAAAACAAGGTAAATCTACTAGGAAAATCACAAATTATTTTCTCTTGTTTTCAAATATCACAGAAGAACCCATAATTTCTGATATAGCCTGTTTGACTGGAAACAGCTGTTAGTGTCCCAGAGAAGAGGATGAGAAACACAGGCTAAATTGAAAGATTTAGGACTAAGACATAGGACTACAAAAAGCAAGATATTGGACAGGTGATTTCAGGTGCCCCTACAGTATCCCCTCTTTTAAAACAGCAAAACTGTGTGCTTAAGTTGCGTGTTATGGGAATGACTGCACACATTTGTCTTTGTTTAGGTTAAATTATTTTTAAAATACATTTAGGATTTTATTTGTCTGGCTCTGCCTAAATAATAACAGTAATAGTGGGATATTACTTGCCTGCCTTGGTCTTAGTCTTCCTCTGATATCAACACTGTTTATTCAGGGTCTAAACCCATTCTACTAAAATTCATTTGAGATTATCCTGTCTCCTTCTCCAGTCTACAGCTCTATTAGAGTCCTTACTGTCACTATCAGACTCTCTTTCATTTAAAAACAAGCAAATCACCTCTGTATTAATTTTGAAGGACTGCTTCTATGTGGTGCTAACATCTCCTCAGGGCATGTTCATAAGGCAATTTCCAAGACATGCCAGCAGAGACCAGTCTTGTCCTACTTCGATGTTTGTCTGTACCCTGTCAAAATGAAAGGCCTTGTAGGCCATGAATTCAAATGAGTGAGGAGAAGAAAGACAGTTCCTTGATTATTATTTCTGTGTCTCTCATAGGAGGTTCCATGGGCCAAGCTATGTAAAACTTCAGACGGAAAGGGAAGGTGAGAATATGCAAGCAAGAGACATTTAGGGCCAAATTTTCTAACAATGGTATAATTTTAGTTGGGGAATTTCACAGGAAAATAGTGATCATATCACTTCCATCAGTGCTGGATTCTTCTTTAAAGTTTACAGAAGAAACAGCTACAAAGAAGCAGGCGGAAATACAGAGACACCCTGGGGAGATCTTATTGAAGCCTTCTAGTACATAATGGGGGCCTACAGGAGAGCTGGGGAAGGACTTTTTACAAGGGCATTCAGTGATAGGATGAGGGGGAATGGCTTCAAACTGGAAGAAGGTAGATTTAGATTAGATATTAGGAAGAAATATTTCACTTTGAGGGTGGTAAGGCACTGAAACAGGTTGCCCAGAGAAGTTGTGGAAGTGCCATTCCTGGAGGTGTTCAAGGCCAGGTTGGATGGGGCTTTGAGCAACCTGGTCTAGTGGGAGGTGTCCCTGCCCATGGCAGGGGGGTTGGATCTCAATGATCTTCAAGGTCCCTTCCAACCTAAATCACTCTAGGATTCTGATTTACAGATTTCTTTTAGGGATACTAGGAAGTTCTTGTCATAAACATTCAGCACTTTTGACCATGAACGTCTAAAATTAAGCAACAGCCCTTTTTCAGGGCATGTCTGTTTACTGAAAAGATAAGATGATGGAAGGAGAGGATCTGTAAAATCACATCCTATGGTGGGTTTACTGGGTAGCTACTAGGTGCCCACCAAGCCCCTCTATCAATCTCCCTCCTCAGCAGAACACGGGGCGAGGGGGGGCGGGGCGAAGAAAATAAGATGAAAAAGAACTCGTGGGTTAAGATAAAGGCAGTTTAATAAAGAAAAGGCAAAGACTACCTGCAGAAACAAGGGAAAACAAAAAGATTTATTCTCTATTTCACATCAGCAGCGACGTTCAGCCACTTCCTGTGAAGCAGGGTATCAGTACATGTAGCAGTTGCTCCAGAAGACAAATGCCTTAATAATGAATGTACCCTCATCTCCTCCCTTCTTTTAGCTTTTTATTGCTGAGCATGACATCTTATGTTATGGAATATCCCTTTGGTTGGACTGGGTCAGCTGTTCTGGTTATGTCCCCTCCCAACCTCTCGCCCAGCCCCAGCCTAAGTAGCCTTTGGAGGGGAGTGGGGCATGGAGGGGATGGGTTTGGAGAGACAGCCTTGATTCTCTGTGAGCACTGCTCAGCAGTAGCCAAAACACTGGTGTGTTATCAACACCTTTCTAGCTACAAATTCAAAGCATAGCACTACGAGGGGTGCTATGGGGAAAGTTAACTCCATCCGAGCTAGACCAAATACACATCCCTATGCAGATAGTGACGTTATACCATCCTACGTGTGTATATTTCCTTTATTTCATTCCATTTGTTTCCCTTCTTTTCCAGCTTGTTTCTACTCAAGCTTCTTGTTAGAGGACATTGAGTTGCACCCAAATTGTTCCACTAAAGAACAATATTGTTCATCTTCTGCTCCCAACCCAATACCCGTGTTGAATGATTAACACAAGGTTATCTGTCATTTCTGTTCTAAGTCAGTTTCTGTCTCACAGAAAACCTGAGAAACAGCAGCTGTGGTGGGAAACATCTCTGTTTAACATCTTCATTAATGATCTGGATGATGGGGCAGCATATACCCTCAGAAACATTGCAGACAACACCAAAGTGGGAGGAGTGGCTGGTACACTACAGAGTGATGCTGCCATCCAGAGGGACCTCAACAGGCTGGAGAAATGGGCCAACAATAACCTCATGAAGTTCAACAATAGTAAATGCAAAGTCCTGCACCTGGAAAGGAATAATCCCATGAACAAATACATGCTGGGGGTGACCTGACTGGAAAGCAGCTTGGCAGAAAAGGACCTGGGGCTCCTGGTGGACAGCAGGTTGAACATCATTCAGCAATGCGCCCTCACTGCAAAGGCAGCAAATAGTGT